AGGGAATCAAAGATCTCAAACTGCTTCTCTCTCCAGATGAGGCCCACAGTAAAGGTGTATTTCAGAAGAATGTTTTTCATGAGTAACAGGTATATTTTTGAGATACATCATAGAGCAGATAAATACTAGGCATAAGATGGGCTGCTTGTTAAACGGTGAAAGATGCATGCACAAAAAAACTTGGTGACCAGATGTGGCGTAATATACTTTAGCTAAAGCTCATCCCAGCAGTCAGTTGCAGGACAAATCTGTATAAAACTGTCTTATTAGTTAGTGTTTTCATTTAAGGGCTCATGAAGTCAGGTGTCCTTTAGAGCTGCAAGATACTTGCCAAGAACCTCACTAATGGTGCCAGTTGCAATTTTGGCTTGCAGTGTTTTTGCCTGCCTCGCACATGGGTCATCATGCAGCTTATGTTTTGACTTATTTTTTAACAGGTTTCTATTTTTCTTAGCAAAACAGAAGATTCTCCCATAGCCTGAAAGTGCTTGCCAATGTTTATGGTTTGGAAGTGGATTGCAAGGAATAACCTGCAGATAGGCCATAGTATTTTCCTTTTGTGTGGTTTCTTGTTTATTTTTTTATTCTTTCCTCTTGCATAGGTTAGGGATAGGGGATTTCATCTCATTTTTTTTCCAGTGTGTGAAATGAAAGTGTACAGTACTGGCAGGAAAGCAGGTATCTGCCTGGAGGAAATAGAGGGTGAGAGTTGTTTTTACTTTTACCTCCTTCAATTACAGTTTAAATACTTGGACTTTATTACTAGCCTGTTTGAAAACTACCTTTATAGACTCTTAAGTGAAAGATGGTATTAAGTGAAAATACATCACTGCACAAGTTGTGTGGCCTGGTTGATTGCAACACTTGAGTATACCTGATCTAGTATAAATCTCTGCTTAAGGCAACTAGATTAGAATCATAGATCATAGAATATTTTGGAAGGGACCTTCAGAGGCCATCTAGTCCAACCCCCTTGCAATGAACAGTGCAGATTGGGTCCTAGAAAAAGTGTACTAATCTTATTTAATACCAGCTTTAGTCTAGCCAAGTCAGATTACTCCAGCAGCAGTTCTTCCTATTTGAATATATTTAGCAAGCAGTGCAGACTATGAGGTCAACCTTCATTATGATTTTAGTATTTTATTGATTGACACCTAGATATGGTTGAAATGGAGCAACTCTATTTTACTGTTAGTAAAAAAAACTGTGTTTCAGTAAGAAAAATCAGTCAAAATACAATAATGATTGATCATATAGTCATAGAATGATTTGTTTGGTTTGGAAGGGACCTTAAAGATCATCTAGTTCCAACACCCCTGCCATGGGCAGGGACATCTTCCACTAGACCAGGTTGCTCAAAACCCCATCCATCCTTGCCTTGAACACTGCGAGGGGTGGGGCAGCCACAGTTTCTCTGGGCAACCCGTTCCAGTGTCTCACCACCCTCACAGTAAAAAAGTTCTTCCTAATGTCTAATCTAAATCTACCCTTTTTCAGTTTACAGCCATTCCCCCTTGTCCTGTCACTACATGCCCTTGTAAAGAGTTGCTTTCCAGCTTTTCTGTAGGTCCCCTGTAGGTACTGAAGGCTGCAGTAAGGTCTGTCCCAAGCTTTCTCTTCCCCAGCCTGAAAAACCCCAACTCTCTCAGCCTGTCAGATGATGCCAAGAATTTTAACTGTGTTATTTAAAAGTTTTATTGACTTGAAGGGTATTTTGTGAGCATTAGGACTTGCCTTTTTTCCATTTATATCAATATATATGGTATTATTTTTCACTGCAGACCTCTGCTTGCTTGCTTTTAATTTATTGCTGAAACTAAAGCTTAACAGCACATTCTAGGTCAAATAATAGTGATAATAAACTCTAAGACAAACTTTTACTGTATAACGTGTTATTGTGACTATTACGTCACTATTCATTTTTTTTGTTGTTAGTGATAACCATTTTTGTAGTTAGCATAACACTAGTACAAAAATTGCAAAGCAGTTGCACTGGGAGTTTGAAAACAGCTTATTTTCCTCTGGTTCACTCCCTTACTGACCATGAAATTCCATAAATTCCTGGACATTGACAAGCAGTTTGCTTCCTTAGGATTTCAAAGGCTATCTCAGCTAAGTTTGGCCCAGAAAGTTTTCTGGTTCCCTACTCTCTTTCTGTGTCTCCTAGAGTCATACAGTCCCTTAGATCCTTCATCTATCGCTATGACTGTGGTGTTTGATGCATCACATTGCCTTGTTAAAGCTTCTGTTTTCTCTAGCTGTTTTTCTGGCAGAAGAGGGTTTGCATGCACTTTCTGCTAATCTAGTGGTGTTTGGCACACTTTTCTGGCCTTCAGGTTGTTCTTTAACTACCCACAGATCAAAAGCCTGGCTAACAACAGCTGTTAATGCCTGTTTTCCAGTCTAATAGTAAATATACTCAATTTCCGAGAACAAACAGATCTCTTCTCCGAAAGGTCAACTCTATACTTGTGCTGTGGTAAGTTTCCCAGCATGCTACCTGTCCTGCACCTGCAGTGTACAGGTTTTCATCCCCTGAATGTCTTGCTACTTTTTCATCTGAACTGTAAAAAAAAGCGGTATGCAGAGAAAGGCAAGGAAGAAAAGCAAAAAAATACTGTTGTGTTATAGTTGCAGCCATGATAAAATAGCTTCTTTAAAACTTGAGGGTGGGGGGTTAACTGTCTACTCTTTATTCCTCTTGTCCTAATTGTCTGTATTTGTGGCTGCAACTTGTGACGCTGGTATCTCCCATCCACTAGCAGGGTGGGTCATAAGAAAGTAGGGTATGGAGAGTTGATAGTAGGCGAGTTTTAGTTTTGGTTAATTTTATCTTATTCCCTTCACTTGCTAGGGTATTAATAGAGTATCTCCTATTGCATATTATGATGCTTGATAATACTTGTAGGAAGGAGGATCTGTCAAGGCAGAATACAGTTTGTCTGACTTGGTTAAATTGGATGACATATCATCCAATTTAGTGGGAAGAAACTGAATCATGTTTAAAAAGGCTGAAACTATTGCCTAGCTTGGTTTAATAATTAGAAGCTGCACAGCTTTTGAGCAGCTAACATCAGACTAGGTTGAAAGCTGGCTTTCTCCCTCCTCTTTGGCTTGTTGAGTAACCTCTAGTCTCTGCTACTGATTATTTCTTTTAAGTTCCAGATGGATGAATTTCTGGAGAGAATTTTAGTAAATACTGCAAGTAGAACATTGTATGGCCCTTTCTGTTACTGTCTTTTAGGGACACAGTGTTTGCTTATTCTGAGTACTTGTTTTGGTGCCATAGTTCAAAACATTGTTGCTCCTTCTCAGAGAACATTAGGTACTTGACTGGAACTGCTCCTGGTCAGGGTTAGTTGGAGAAGTGGTGGCCTTTCCCTTATCTAGCACCTTGTCTGTGTGGCTTTTTATTTGGAATATTGATGCTCTTTGTGAGCTTGTTGTGCTGTCTAGAAACAAAAAGCTACAAGTGACACAGCTTTTTGCTAAACGTGTACATCTTGGAGCCAAGCATTCTTCTGATTTAGGTATGAATGGTGCTGTTGGCACACCTCGTACTTGACTCTGATCTGCTTTGCAGGGACTCTTGACTTCTGCAGTTGTGCAGCCCTGATGCTGATCAGCACTGCTTAAACCAAATAAATGCATAATATGAAAGGGTGAGGCATGCTGCTAGCTCTTTGGCTCTAAAAGCAGGATTTTTCTCTTAGTAGCTATAATATCTTCGAGTGAGGTACTCACTGAAAACACCAGCTTGAAGAAGCAAGTTCAGGCAACTTCCCTCCTTGGCTTCAGTGAACACTAAGCCAGAACAAGGCATTCCCTCCTTGGCTTCAGTGAACACTAAGCCAGAACAAGGCACTGCACTTCCTGGTGGTGTATGGAAGGTGGATGAGGAACAAGCTTCTTCAGGTATAAGCCAGAAACCCCACTCTTTTCAAGCTAGATTTAACACAGTGAAGCATCTGAGCAAAACAGAAGAAACTTTAAAAGAACCAAAGTCAAAATTTTAAAAAAATTTATTCCCTCAATTTTATATACAGTAATTCCCTCAATTTTATATACAGTAATTACAGTACAAAGGTGTAAATGGTCTTTGTTGTGAATTGTTGTGCATATGCAGCTTAGTAGACAGATTTAACATTCAATTTGAATCTCAGTGCAAGTAGGCACTAAAACATCCAACATACCTCCAAGGTATAAAAAGACATACCAGTTTTACAGGTTTCTCCAGCATATTTTGTTACAGTGCAAAAAGCTATGAAATAAGGTTTCTTTAGAAAATTCACATAAATTAAACACATATTGCACTTGTCCCAACCAAAAGGGTAACAAGTTATACTTACTGAACTAGTTTATGTTTCAGAACATTCCTCACACACATGCGCTCCTTCCTCCTGACTATTTGTGCTAAATATGTGTAGTTTAAATCTTAAATAAGTGTTTATGGATCTTTGAACTAATACAGTCCCTCTTGAGCAGACTGCTAAAGAAAAAGAAATTACAGCAGATTAACAAGAAAATTCTCCAAACTCTATTCAGGCTTCTATCCAGTAGCACTGTAACTAAACACATAAAAATCGGTGTTGTTTAAATTCAGAATACAAGTGTATTGAACATCAACCATTTTCGGTGGTTACACCCCTATTTTCTGGGAAGGTATAAAGCTGCCAGTTCTAAACATGTACATATTTCTGCTGTACATCAGGCTGCTAAGCTAACATTGCATCCACAAACATTTGTGCAATACCACGGGTAGGACTTTGATTTCTGTACATCGCTGGCTGCTATGGGGTATATTGGGAGAAAGGGGCAAAGTTGCATTAACTTTGGAGAACAAAGTCTACTTGGGCTGAATCTGTGTCGATGGAATCCGTGCACTGCCAAACAAGAAATAGAGGTGAAGGCAAACAACATCAGTGTTGCTAGATTTGAGTTTCCCTAAACCCTTACAAGCCTTGAGAATTAAAGGAACAAGTGCATATGATTGCAGATGATAACTTTGTGCTTAAGATACTTATTCAAAGCTGAAAGGTAAGGGAGTGCCTTAGGAACAAATAACTTTCTTTTTTGCCTTTTTTTTTTTTTTTTTTTTTTTTTTTTTAGCAAACCAGTATGAACAAAGTTGCTACTAAAATACTGACATATAAAGGCAGAAGAAAAGTAAAACATGGCTAGCTGAATGCTAGTTCATGTCTTAAACAGTTCAGGGTTACCTGCAAAATGCCTCCAACATTTCATTTCTCCCCACACTTCACCTTAGAGAACTATACTTCTTCCTGTTACATACAAAAACCAGCATTTATTTTCTGAAAACATTTCTGCATTCAACTCATTCAGAACATGAGTGGAAGAAAACCTGACTTCTGGTACTACAACATTCTTCAGATCCAAATCTGGAGCTGCAACAGTGACTGTACAGGACTTTCTAAAGGCAGGTTCCCATCTTACTTGCATACTACTAGATATGAAGTCCTTAATAAGGCAGCAGGTTCCCATCTTACTTGCATACGACTAGATATGAAGTCCTTAGTAAGGCAGTATGTACTTTATACAAGTAATGAGATTAAATCCTAACTTGACACATTTAGGAATTCTTTATACAGATAGTATACGTTCACACCACTTGTGCGGGTCGTGTTAAAACTCAAAAATCCCAAGTAGCCAGGCTTTGGATCAGGAGAACAAACAGATAAGGTTCACAAACTGGAAGGCTGCTGGATTACTGGACCTGGTTCACATTCACGAAGATTGTCTTCTGACCTCATATACATTAGGAACACAGTGACAGTAGCAAAGGTAGCTGCGTTGACAGGAAAAGCACGGAGAAGTGTGGAAGTAAGACCTCTTGTGAACACCCTCCAGCCTTCTTCATGGTAACTCTTTCTGACACAGTCTAAAATGCCATTGTATTGTGTAACGCCTCCAACTCCATCAGCCTGAAGCCGGGATTTGATCACATCCATGGGATAGGTTGAGAGCCAGGATACTATTCCTGATATCCCTCCAGAAAACAGCAGTTTTGGAATAACATAACTGTCTTCAGCTTCACAGCCTAAATACCTGGTCATTAAGTCATAGGTCAGGAAGTAAAAGCCAAAGCTTGGAGTCTCTCTTATGAATGTAGAGACCATGCCCCTGTTGATACCCCTTAGCCCTTCCTTTTGATAGATTTTGATCAAACAATCCAGAGAATTTTTGTAGTTCTTTGTTTTTAGTTTATATTCACCTGTTCCTTGAAGCTGCATTCTTGTCTTTGCCAACTCCATGGGACAGCAGATGACGCACTGGATAGCCCCTGCTGCTGACCCTGCAAGGAACTGGTTTAGAGGAGTGTCTTTTCCAAGAGCACGAAGTGTGTTTCCTTGTACACCGAACACAAGCGCGTTAATGAAGGTGAGTCCCATCATTGGTGACCCAATACCTTTATAGAGTCCAAAAGCCTAATGGAAGAAGGAAGGAAAACCCCTTTTCAACAGTTATATTCATAAACCTCCTGAAACTGTGCAGAATGTGGCTTTTCTGGCTCTCCCTCCTGTCCTAATTTTCTAGTAGTGGCCATGAGACGAGTACCATCTTGCTTTGTAATAATTTAATTGCTGCCTAAACCACAAAAATCTAACCACTTTTAGCAGTACAAATACAATGCTGAACACATCCGGAAAACAATCTCAGTCCTTCCACAGAAAAGTTTTTCTGGCAAATTTTACACTTTAAGTAGCTAAAAGCCCAAAGCCACCCTTTTAGTTATGGTATTTAAGCTTCAGCAGCAAAAAACTCCCTTCACCAGTTTCTTCACTCATTGCTCAGATTGCTTGGATTCTCAGAAAACTAGCTATTCAAGTAACTTAATTAAAATGTTACCTTCAAAATAGCACCTTTCAGTTTAGTGATCTTCATGAAGTTTCTGGCAAACTTCTGACTACACTCTCTGCCCTATGCTCAAGTGAGGTTCAGAGTATGCCTGTCTCTCGTTCTTCAATATTTGTAGGGGTTTTAGCAGCTTTCCCACCCTTCCGATTGAAAATACATGAAGATACAAAATATGAAAAGCATTAATTTTGTACTTACAGATTCTTGTTTTATGATGGATTGAAAGCAATGGAAGGTCCCACGGTAGAGAGGTTTCTCTACATTTTGAACTTGCAGACGAACCTATAAAAAGTTGTACAAGGTACCGATTTGTATGTCAAGAACAGCCTAATTGGTAAATTAGTGTCTTGTGTATGTATGGAGATTTGCTATAGCAGTGTATATGCAAGAGCACAGGTTGGACACTGGAACACCACATGTGGCAAAATAACTTAGAAGTATTGTGTGTTTTGATTTAATTTTGGGGGTGAAAACATGAAAGTAGTATTAACTACTTGTGAATAATAGAAAAACACTATGTGGAAGTACAAGAGGGTACACCATTCTCTAGAGTTTTGGACAGGAGTTTCCAGTACTGACTAGAATAATTACTTTCTTTAGCTGCCAAAAATACTTCTGTTCACACTACAGAATAACTGTACAAACCTGATGTAAATATTTTTAAAAAATTCTAAGCATGAAATAAGGATAATTTTTAAAAGGCTGGGAACTTTCAATACCACCCCCATAGTATTTCTGCTGCTGAACCTGGGGACCCTTCGCTAACATCTGGTATTTTTCAGAGGGTAGCTGGAAAGTGACTCTTTAAGATGCGTCTTTGCATAAAAGTAAAAATCAACTTGTCCTTTTAAACCTTAGTCTGTTTTTTTTAACCTGCTGAACACAAACCATTGGTGAGGGTGTGGCCATTTCAAAGCTTTATTGTTAGTAATCAATTAACTTTTCTAAAATGGAAATGTTATGATCTGCTGGACAGATAGATGTCACTGTAACTGGCAATATGAGGGGAAAGTCCCTTTTCTAGATGTTTTTTAACTTGTAATGGAAAAGTCCACTCCTGTTTTTTGCTGCTAATTTGTCCTTGACACACTTAAAGTCTCAAAGCTGCCCAGTTCATGCAAAGCCCTACACTGCAGTAAACTCAATAAATTGATTGGCAAAGTTAGGAATCTGTCATTGATCTTTAGCATGGAGAGCTGCAGTATTCCTCAGAAAAGATGCTTATCAGCCATTTAATGCTGCTGCAGCTCTAGGGCAAAAAAACCTTCAAGTCTCTTAGTCTGAACAGAAGAAAATATCAGATCTGTGTGAAAAATTTCTGACTTTATGATCTTTCTGTCACTGTTTCCCTAGAGTAGTAATAAACACCACCCCAAAGATGACAGCCCTGCACAATGATGTTGAAAAGGATTTGGGGACATGGTTTGTCAAAATTCTATAATTGGGGTAGCTTTCTTTTTGAGACAAAAAAAAAATATATTTCAGGGGGTTTATATTCTTACAACATGTGACTTTTGATTTACAAAACAAAGTTTAGTTTTCAATGTCTTTTTAATATGCACATTAGTGTTTGCTAGCCATGCTGAGAGGCCAAGATCACTTCATCTTCCAAGATGGAAGAGGGCTTTAAAACATTTCAGTATCAAAAGTAGGCTTAGGGTAGAATTCAAAGAAAACAAATCCTTTGTTATCCAAAGTGACATTTGGGGGTAGGCAGATTGTTAAACCTTATCCATAGGCAAGGTCATAAATCTCAATAAGCTGTCAGAATTGGGCAAAACAAAGGTTTTATTCCATTTGCAGTTTACTGCTATGATTTCAAACCCTATCTGTATAAAGTCAGGGGACCTCCATGTGTATGGGCTTTGGGAGAATTGCAGCTTAGGAACTTTCTTGCTTTAGTGCTCCTATACATGTCTTCAGTAGTTTAGAATCAATCATATTCTGTATATAGGTTGAATTTCCTAGTGGCATAAAGCTCACACTGTTTTTGTCTAAATAATTTGTGAAATATTGACCAATGAAGCCTTGTTATAGGATAAAATATTTAGAAAATACTAACACTCTAGGTCCAAGAATGAAACCCAGCTCTTTCACTTGAGCACAGTGATGATTGCATAGGGGTACCCACATCAGCAAACTACCAGCCCAGGCAATTTCATTAGTATTAAAATGCCATATTCAACAAGCTCTTTAGTGTGTAAAACTATTGGAAGGATGAATCATGTGCAAAGTTTAACCCTCTGTTCTATTCCTTGCATAATATTCTGGCTTTCTCCTTATTTGAAACCACTAGTACTAAACTTTTAGGTCCAATAGTAACACACTGTAATTTCATGCCACTAAAGACTTCCATAGAGGTACTCAAGATTAAGCAAAATAACTCACCACACCCCCACAACAGTCCAAACATTTAATAATATGCAAATTAAGTCATTTGGAAGTGTTTGAGCACTGAAAATGACCTCCAAGGATATGCAGTGTTTAAGACCTCAATGACAGTGTACCTGAGATTGTTTTAGAGCCACTGTATGTAGAAATGTGTACAGCCAGAAATGCATACCAGAAAGAAGGTTCAGAATAAGACTTTAAAAAAAATTTGTATCTTTAAACCCCACTCCCTCCATGCCCTAGCTGTAGAAGAGGGACACATCAGTATAAAACTAAAAAGGGGAAAAACTTCATAATTCTTTTAGGTCTTTATTTGAACTAATACATTTTGGAATAAATTAAGACTGAGAGAAACAGAAGTGTTCACCTGGGCTATACTTACTAGGTAACTCTCCCGTGATGAGGCTTATCTGTCATCTACAACAAAGTAACACTTTTGCTGTTAATGAAGACAGCCCCTAGCTCAGAAAGTAAAGGCAGTTAAAAGCAAAACAGCAATTTTATACATTTATACAACAAACCAGGGTCAAGGAGTTTGCCAGTTCTGAGAGCAGCTCAACTGTGGGTCTAGCAGGGCAACTTCACAGGCTTAATCTCTCCCTGTGTGTCCCACCATCCCCCTCCCCGCTATGTGAAACATGACCAACAGCCAAAAAAAGAGCTTTAAAGCCAAGACAGAAGTAAAATTCTGGCTTATCTAAACAGCTTTCCCATTGTCCAGTTACATTAAGAACTTACGGTCTAAGGTGACTACCACTTAGCCCTTTATACGCTACAGAACTATAAAAGAGGTTAATTCTTAACACACATACATACACAACTAGTTATGCAATGTCTTTTTTTTTAATAGACTAGTTATAGTGTTAGTTTTCCCACACAGAGTGGTGGCTATGCCAGCTAATAACACAAACATTAGTATTTAACAAAAAGAGATAATTGTTTATAATGCCTTCTAATGGGTATGAAAATATAGTGTGCCATGCTATATTTCATAAAACATTTAAAGTCATCCAGAAACAAGCTATTTGCTCTATTTCAAAGCAAGATGTTTTCTCTAAAGCCAACACATCTATTTGCATTAATAGATCTGCTGGAACTAACGTGGGAGCTGCAGTTTTGCAGACACTGCAGTGTTTGGTTTCATGCACTAAAGCTATTCCACTTTACAAACCAGGAAGACCCCACACATGGTTAACTTCAGTTTGAGCACAGAATTTTAGCAGTTTTGCTGGCTTCAATGAAATGACCCATCACCTTCAGTTAAGCATGTAAAATTTGGCAGGATGGGGTACGCGAAGAGAGACAGCTGGCCCTGTACCACCATGAGAAAATGTGCAAGTCTGCATAATACTGCTCCTGAAAACATATACTAGGATCCAACCCAATTATTTAACAAGTGTGCCATATTCCGATAAACATACAGGTTTTGCTATATGAGCAGCTTGCACTTGACTAGCAAAGACTAATATCCAGGTAGGAAGGTCTGTGTTGAATTAGCCATTAGCTAATTAGTTCAATTAGCTAGAACACAGAATATGGTGATGACCTCAGTAATACTATCCAGCCCTTTGCATATCTAAATTCAGGAAGGTAGAGTTATTCCAAATATAGGTCTAGTGGGTGGCATGCTGCCTGCTGCAGTCAAGTGATCAGCTGTATTAATTCAGCAGGGAAATATACTGACATGCCTTCTTCGATTCTTCCAGTGAGAGACTTTGGATTCAAGGATTTTAGGTTTCAAATCTTATCTTTGAAGGAGCTACCCTTAGTATGTATGATACATACAGCTCCCAGACCATCAGAAAATCAATCTTAACTTGCAGAGTTACAAAAATATATTATACTTAAAAGGAGGAAAAAGCCCCCGACAAACTTCATGCTGTGGATCTTTATGCACTTACACCCTTTGGCTAGTGTAACAAATTAATGCTTGAGGGGAAAACAAAACACAAGGTTTCAACCTAGTAACAAAGCAGGTTTGAGTTACAAAAGCATAGGGGAGGCAGTTTTAGCAGTTAGTGATGAACAGTTGCAGAGAAGCAAGCTTAGGACAAAACTAAGTTAAATTGAAGATTGTACTTTCTAATACAACATTTTTACTACACTAACAAACTTTAAATTTAGGCCAATATTTGTCATGTTCCTGGATTGAATCATACATAGTTTTTTTTCAGTTCTGAATAGCTGCAGATCTACAACAGCGGTTGGGGAGGGTTGCTTCAGGCTTTCCAGTGCGGATTTATACTCCTACAGTGTCTGGGGATTTTTGTTTTTTTCCTCCTCCACTCCTTGAAAAACTTACTCTACCTAGAGACAAAGGTATTTTATAATCAACCCACCTTAACAGTGTCAAATGGGTGTCCTACCAGTACTCCTGCAGCACCTGAAATAAAACAAATGCCATGGTTATGACTCACAGTTTTCTTCTTTCATCAGTTTTCTTCCTGAATCCTTGGGGCTGCAGTAGCCCAAGCAGTACCTCCACAGACTGAGGCAGAGCCTTATTGGTAGGCCAGGGAAAGAGCATCCTATCAAGTCAGAAGATGAGACACCTACAGTTCAGTCCTTTAAGCCAACACTTGGTGCCTTTATGCTCCAGTCAAGCTCCTGGGCCCCAGGTGGGGGTTGAGGTGTGTGACTACAGAGCATGCCACACTGTACAGGATGGTCAGCAGTGATTCTGAGCCTCAGCCCAAGGTGAGTCCAGTGGGCAGAAATCACAGGTTTCCTCTGAAGCAAAACATTACTCATAGATGCCAGCCACCCTGTGATGGCATAGAAAACCTGGAAGTTTCCCTAAAGGCAGAAAAAAAATCCCTGCACTCTGCCCACAGCCCTTCCAGATGCAATGGTAGCACCTGCAGAAGGACCATGCGTTACCAAAGCCCTCTGCTTTATTATAGCATCAAAGGATTTTTTAGAAGTTGTATACAGGCCTGTTAGTTATACTAATCTGGATATATGCATTTGGCAAGTACTGGCTGAGGCAAGGAATCCTCTGGCTCTGTATTTCTCTGAACCATCGATCCATTTATGTTTGCTGACAACAGCAAGAACTACAAAGAGTGGTTCAGTGCACCTTCTTGCGTTGGCAGATAACATCCCTCCCTCTCCTGAGAGGATGTGGCAGAAATACAGTGCCCACTCTAGGATGGTGTAGTCCAGGTTGTTCAAAGCCAGCACAATGGCAAGATAGTCCAAATCACAAAAATAGCCATGTGCTGTGTTCAGCATGAAAAGACTGGTGGCACAACCAATCCTGTGGGATCCCTGACGAAGCAAGGATCACTAGGATGAAGTCAGAAGCTGCAAGAAAAAAAAAACATTCTCTTTGCCAGGGTGGCAAGGAGAACATCAAACGTGAATATCTGAAAAGACGCGAGAATAAATCTCCTGAATGCAATTTAACAACTGCTAAAAATAGGAGGGCCGTAAGCAGATGCACAGGGACGAGCAAGGCGAGCATAAGCATTCTCTCCTCTTCGTGTTCAACCTCCCCGCTACGGGCCTGCTGCTGCTCGTGTGCTCACCCGAGAGCTCTCTCCCAGCCAGCCAACGCATCCAGCCCCTTCGCGCAGGCCGGCTTCTGCCACAGGCAAGGCGGCCGCGGCCTCGCTCCTGCGGGAACCCCCCGAGACCTTCCGCTCCCCCTGCCCTTTCCCGGGATCGGCACTACCTGCGCGGGGCGGCCGCTGCATCCCCTGTGCCCTGCTCAGGTCTCCGCTCCCAAAATAAAAGCGCTGCGCCCAGCCTTGCCCTCCCTCCGCCCCCCGCCTTTTTCTCACCCCCTTTTCCCCGCTATTTACAATTTATTTTTTTTTTATTCTCCCCCCTTTTTCCTTTCCTCCCATCCCTTTTTTCTTTATTTTCCTTTTTCCCGTTGCCCCCTTTTCCTGCCCCTCACCTCCGACGCATCCAGCGAGGAAATCCAGAGCCATGCTAGCACCCTCAGTCCCCAGCGGGGCCCGGCCCTTGCGCGATACCGCTCCGCGCACTGCCGCTGCCCGCCCCTCCGACCGCCCTTTCTACCGCCCGCCTCCGCCCCCCCCCAGCAGGGGGGCCGGACCGTGCCTGCGGAGGGGCGGGCACCGGGACAACTCCCCCTCGCGGATCGCAGCCACTGGCGGCTGCGCTGGGCGGCTCCGGGCAAAAGGCGGGACGGGACTAAAGGAGATGGGGGCTGGAGCCGCACGGGACTGGTCTGGTCTGGTCTGTTTTGCAGCTATATCCGAGCAGTTAACCTGATGTAAAGGCAGAAATAAACATTGGAGGCTGGGATGTGGCGGTCTGGGGAGGGCGATCAGAAGTCAGAGCATCCCTCCCGCTGAGCATCAACACCCCGAGATGTTTGGGGTAGTTAGGGACGCTGTCCGCGGCGTCTTGCATTCTGGATGAGGCATCCCTGGGTGCTGGTGGTTGGAAAGCCTGCAGAGCTTATGCCGGAGGATTTTGGAGGGGGTGTCTGTTTTTAATAGCGATGAAACGTCTTCTATGAAGAGTGGCTGAGAGAGCTGAGGCTGTTCAGCCTGGGAAAGAGAAGGCTACAGGGAGACCTAGTTGTGGCATTTCCATACTTAAAGGGGGCTTATAAAGATGGTGAGAGACTTTTTACCAGAGTCTGAAATGGTAGAAGAAGGAGTAACCATTTAGCCCTAAACCTGAAGATACAGATTATAAACAAAGAAGAAATTCTTTAAGATGAGGGCGCTGAGGTGCTGGCACAGGTTGCCCAGAGAAGATGTGTCTGCCCCATCCCTGGCAGTGTTCAAGGCCAGGTTGAATGGGGCTTGGAGCAACCTGGTCTAGTGGAAGGTGTGCCTGCCCATGGCTGAGGGGTTGGAACTGGATAAGCTTTATGGTCCCTTCCAACCCAACCCATTCTGTGATTCTTTAACAGACTCCCCCACCAGTGTTAAACCAGAGAGTGAAGGAAAGGCTGCACCAGCAGATGTGGGCTCTAGGCCAACTCCTGCCCCCATGGCACAGCTGGAAGCACAGGGATGAGCCTCTACTTCTGATGATCATGGCCAGAAATCAGTAGCCTGCTGCCCATGGGATTTAGCAGAGACCTGGATCTCAGTATTACACGTTGCTGTCGAAGAGGCTTCTCCCATACCTTCCTCTCAGGCTTTTCTTGGTTTGTATTAACTGCTTTCCTACTAACATTACCTGGCTTCAAGGTGCCCTGCTGATGCCAGAGACTTTAAATGGGAAATTCAAGCTGTTGACAGTTTCAAAAGGGAGCCCTGTTTAAGCCACTCCTTGTCTCTGCAGGCAATGTCTGAGAAAGGGGCATACCAGTGGCCTGGAACAACAATGTGCCTATTCAAGCTTTGCTTAGAGAGAGTAACTTCTAGAAGCAGAATGGAAAAGCAGCTGGATTTCTTTCTTCTTTTTTTTTTTTTTTTTTGCAATTGTCATGGCAGCCCTTTCCTTGATATAGCAGCTCAATACAAAACTGATAAAATCTTGCAGTGGAATAGCATATTAAAAGTTAAGTCAGCTTTTCCTTTCTGTGCAAACAGAAAACACACAGCAAATCAGCAAAGAAAAGGATCTTTCCCAGGAGGTCAGAAACTACTACTACAGAACAAAACCTGAGAACCTCCCCCAGATTTAGCTGCTCTTGGACCATCATTACAATTAATAAGCAGATAAGATGAAAATGCAAAGCACACAATGAATTCCTGACCTTTCCCATACCTTCTTCCAACCCGACACTCATTTGGGGCCCTTCTCATCTCTAAACTCTGTCAAATCAAAAGAAGCCTCCAGGTGTCTCCAGGATGCTTTTGATTCTCTGATTCACATACCTGTCCTACCTGGGGACAAGCAGTTGGTGTTAGAGAGCAGGCAGGTAGGCTGGTCTTGCCCTTTGCCACAGCACAGAGGGCTTTGGGAGCTGCCCGCTCCTGTTGTACCACACACTGTTCTACCTCCTGACACATACCTTAGACATTGCTGAGCCCATACACTGGCAGCCAGTACTTGAAATAAGACAAGAAGCCCCAGACAGTCCTTTTCCTTTAAATATTTTCTCTAAGTAGAGGTGGAAGTGAATTTCTGGGAATCTTGTCTGCTCTGGCATCCATGAGAGGAACTACAATCATGTACACAGCTTTGCAGGTGAAAGTCCAGATGTTATGTACATCTGCCTTGCAGACAAACCTCAGAAGGATCAGTTTGGCCAAAGTGTTCCTGGCCAAAGTGGTTTTAATCTGTTATTAAATCCTCTGATCTCCCAAGCAATCTGCCTCAGAGAAATTACCTTCTCCCCCAGAAGTGTTTTGTAACTTTAATATTTGCCCACAATGGACAGGGAAAACATTTCCTCTCTCTTTGCAGGCATTTATTCGGTTATCTGAAGACAGTTTCAATATTAGTACTTTCTTGTCTGAATTATATTGATTATTGTCTTTTGACCTCTGATTCTTCTAACCCCCTCTTCAGCTGATCTGGAGTTCCTTGAACTAATCCTTAAAGCCTTGCTGAGTGAGTACTGGGAGATTATCTTGGGTATTTGCAGACAAAAACTCTTGGTCATACATCTGAATATGAGATCAGATATTTGTAAGAATCATGACATAACATAACATTTTGTTCGTTATGGGCAGCCTGTGATGCACGAAGCACCCCAGACCCTTTCCAGTAGATCAGCTTGTGCCACAGTGTTCCCTGTCTTGTACTTGCCATTCCTTCCTACATTCTAGCAGTCCATGCTAAATGGGTTTTTCCAGATTGTTTTTCCAGTTTGTCAAGATCATCTGAATTCTAATCTTACTGTTGATGTTTGTGCAGCCCCTCCCAGGTTGCTGCAATCTCCAAAGGCCTGCCTTGTTCCTGCATGTTTGAGCTGTTCCTACTAAACTTTATTCAATGCTACGGAATGTTTTGCTCAATTATTCAATGCTATTGAACCCCACTGGAGGAGGCACGTACTTCAAAGGGGGAGGTGTGTGTGTATGTGCTTTGTATACTAGTGCAGAGAACATCAAGGGCTCCTGGGTATAAAGTTTTGAGATATCAGGGGTCGATTCACTAAGAAATGAGCATGGCTTTAGCCCCACTGGGGAGTTCCCTTTTGATCACTTTTTCTTGCTTGGGGTTTTGGTTTTGGTTCAAGTTACACTTGTGAGGCAGTGTTGTATGAATGTATAGGAGTTTATTAAGAGGGGGGTGGAGGCAGTGAATCAATACATGTACTTATATTTGTGCGTGGCTTCCATAGGAGCTTCGCAATAAAGGGAAGGAGGTCATATAGCTCTTATATTTTAGTGGTATTACTTAGGCCAGACATTTTGCTGTTGATCCAGGGCCCTATGTGTGCAGTAGAGACATACTTTTGGAGAGCAGAGCTAACCTGACACTCAAGGAAATCCATATTTAATGGTTCTACTCTACTCTCAGGCTGTTTTTCTAGATAGTTCAAAAGCTATGTCTAATCTTGCATCCAGTTTGTTGATGTGTGATGCCTCCAGCTGAAAGCATGACTCATCTGCTGGGAGCTCTTGTGCCCTTCAGGCTCCATAGATCCAGCTCACCTGTGACCACCCTTCTTTTTATTCTGCTAAGGCAACTGGCTGAGATGCATCCCCTAGAAAGCTGGAGTGAGGAGCTGTGCTTTTCCTGCTTTCTTCTTCTTTGGGAGCACTTAGCTTCCCTGCTGGATAATGAAATGGGGGCTTATGAAATAGAGAAAGCAGAGAAGAAAGAGCTAATGGCAGCTTGGGACACATATAGAGTCTACCAGCATGTATGGCAGCTGCACTGCCACATGTCTGAGAGAAAAGGTTAAAGCTATAATTTAATGTTATCCTTCAAAGACCCCCTTCTCTTTGTCCTGTTGTCCTTCAGGTCTGAAAGTTAAGGTGGAAGAGGTTTTGCAGATGATGCTGGAGGGGTGAGATAACAGAGGTTTCCCTTCATTCTTGTGGCAAGAAGTGAGTCTGTTGGCTGTCTGTTGTTCTTGATGGCACCCAGGTCTGGGAAAAGGTGAGCCCTAACAGAAACCTGGGAAAGGGAGTTGGGAGTGTAGGAAGGGGAACAGAATAAGGGCAAAAGTAAAGAAGCAGCAGGGCAGAGTTAACACTGCAGGTAAATGAAACACAAAGTGCAAAAGCAGAGTGAAGAAGGAAAGGAACAGGAATGGGGAGCTGTGACAAACTCATAGAATTTCTGGTGGCAATGGCATACAATAAAATGCACATTGTTGACTCAGATGTTTCAAAATCTTTCTGTTTGCTTGTGAATTTGTCATCAACAACTGGTCGTGTCCCACTAGATGTGTCCCACTAGACATGTCCCAGTAGAACGTGGAGGGTCACGGACGTCTTGAGGTTCTCCCAGTTCTTCCCCACAGCTTCAGTGGGGCCTGGCCAGCTCTGGGATTACATGGCAGAATTTCCTTTCATATAGCCTTCTGCCCTCAGCCCTTTCTTTATCTTCTGCTGCATCATCACAACTTCAGTACTCACTATGTTATCAAGAAAAATGCATTGATTTCTCTTTTTATTTTGAGTGGGGACTGGATTTTGATCTTCCTAGCATCCTGAATCACTCTTCAAAGGCTCTTTGGGGCAGCAGTTCTCTCTATGCCCTGTTTATGATGTGAATCTAGGCTGCATACATGCAGCTGTTTGAACATTGCATTTACACTACCAAACTGCTTGCAATGAAAACCTTGCATTTTCCAGAGACTGCAGGCCAGCATAACTGGGCTTGAAGATCAGCTAGTGCTTTACCAAATGGCTGATTTATCTACAGCAGTAAAAAATAAATCAAAATGGTGAATGAGAAAGATACTGGGACATAATAATAAGTGCATGAGAAAGAAGCTGAGCTGGGCTGGGTGGAAACAACCAGTGTCAGGAAAAGGATCTCCTCCAGGTGAATTCACTGGATACCTTTGTGTGGATTCAAGTCCATTTTCTTTGTTTTCCTAAACACAGTTGTATTCATTACCCCACTTGTACTCACTGCCCCACTCAATGTTATGTTGAGACAAGTCATTAGGATGCCC